AGATCTTTACCTCGTCTTTCCCTTTTTCTATCAAAGTTTGCGACACATCTGGGTTTGGCTATCTGACCCACAACTTCCATGACACGGCAGGAATGTGAGGCCCTCTGCCTTCTATGGTCATCATCCTCATCCTCCTCCATTGCGAAAGCCTCATCTCCACCTCCACCTTCCTCGAGATTGACCAATTCTTCCTGTTGTGCCTACAATCTTTTCTGTTGCTCCTCAAACTGTTTATACACTCTCCTTGAAGAAGACATTGTAAGAACTCAAGATTTGAAAACGATGAAGAAGGATTCTGAGCTAAAAAGAAGGATTGAGTTTGGTGTGAGGATGGATGTAGGGATGTAGGATTTATATGGACAAAAAAAAAAAAAAAGAAAGGATGAGGTTCTGGACAATGCCACATGGTATTACGTGATTGGTTGAAAATCTTATCGAAATCTTGGCTAAATTATTGTAAACAGATAGTGACACATGGCGCGTCGGGATTGGTTGAAAATCTAATCACAAATCTATCCACAAAATAGTATGTTCGGATAATAACACGTGGTGTGTCAAGATTGGTTGAAAATCTTATCGAAATGTTGGCTAAATTATTGTAAATAGATAGTGACACGTGGCGCGTCAAGATTGGTTAAAAATCTTAGTGGAAATCTATTCACAAAATAGTACTTTCGGATAATGACACGCGGCATGACAAGATTGGTTAAAAATCCTATCCAAAATTAAAACAATTTTTTATTTATTATTTTATAAAAAAATTTAATAATATTTTAAATGGGCTAGGTGCTAGCGGATTTTTTAGACTTTGTGTCAATGCATTTTTTTAGGGGTGAAGATGCATTTGGCCTATTACTGTTCATTGAGGTCTATCATTGTTCACTGAGTGGATTAAATGAGCTGGGTGCTGGCGCATTTTTTTAGAGGTGGATTTGCTCTAAAGGATTGTCTACAAACAATATCGGGCTAGTTTGGAAGCAGTTTTAAAATAATTGAAAGCGTTTTTGATGAAAATATTTTTAGAACCAATCCTTAGTAAAAATGCAAGTAAATCCTAAAAAAGCACTTAAAGTGCTTCCTGAAAAAAAAGCACATAACTGGTGCTTCTTGCAGAAAACACTTCAAGTACTTTTGGAACCCTAAAATATTTTCTCTAAAAAGCACTTTCAATCATTTTAAAAGCAATTCCAAATAAGCCCATAAATGCTCTCATGCTTCTAGGCATGACAGTCTTGAACTTATCCCACTGCTTTGGTTGAGAAGTTACTAACTCGTATCAAAGATGAAAATACTTTTGCTCATCATTCTTAACTGATGGTGATACTCATCATCCTATTTATTACTATTGAATGGGTTTGAATTTTGAGATATATATAGTTGATAGACACAAATCTCTAAATTTAAACTCATCCAATAGTATTAAGTAAAGTAGTGAGCATACCACCACTTAAGGGTGATGAGCAAAAATGCACCCTATCAAAGAGTATTCGACCAACAACTTACAAGGATCACTTACAAGGGTGGTGCTATTTACACACTATTTTTATCTCTCATACATCCCTCTCAATTTTCAATATTGAATCAATGAATTGAAAAAAATAATGAAAAAAAATTAATAAAAATGTGTAAAAAATAAAAAGAAATATGAGAATAGCAATACACTACTAACCATTTACTCGGTGAAGATTTTTTCTCTAATTTTGCACAATATTTAAGACACGTTCAAGTAGGCGAGAGGCTTCCTTGTTTTATGGTTGAATAATATTTAACCCAAAGTGAGTTGTCACTGAATGTTGATAGTACATACGTCCACGTGTTTTTTGCGTATGAAAATAAATGCATTGGCTTATGTACTATCTACATGCATTTGCACACACACACACACATATAAATATATACACACACTTCTCAAATCTTATTCAGTTTGCTAATGTTTTTCTTGTTGATATGAGTTCCGCTTTGAACTCATATCTCATTGAAATGAATTAGGGTCTTAATTGGACAAGAGATTTACATATGATTTTAAGGCTTTGATGTATTTCTTTTAGGTGAAACAATATCAATTTTATTCGAAAAAATTACAAAAAATCAAAGAGAACGTATTGAATTTTGATTAAATTAAGAGGCTCCTCAAACTAACAAGAACTAAAATTAGAAAATGGACCAATCTATATGTGATATCCCGTCCTGAAACTATCGAAACGTACATGTGAAATGACCACTTTGCCCCCTAGATAGTTCGTTTACCTTATTGGTTGTTTGTGTGCCTTGTTGGCATGTTTGGAATCACACACACGCAGCCACACACTCCACCTCTCCCTGTCCCTTTCCCTGTCTCTCTCTCTCTCCTGAGTCCTTTATCCTTCTTCTTCTTCCTTCAAACTCGTACGGACACACACACAACTACACTAAATCATCACAGATCGAGGAAACCAAGGGCACAGTCGTGATCGTGAGGTCGAGGGGAGCACGATTATATCATTTTTAGGTGAGAAACCAGTCGTTTTCACGTCGATTTCACAAGCTCCGATTTGAGCACTATTCATGCAAACTTATTTCACCACGTTTTTGGGATTTTGAAGCTCATAGGTGGCTTGGTGAGGTCCCAAGGAGTCTCGGAGTGACTCGTTGGAAGAAATTGGACATCGGAATCACCTGGTTCGAAGTTGGCCGGTTTTGGTTAGTTTGGACAGGTAAGATCGTGTGGTTTTTAGCCTTTGAAACTTGTATGGACGTGTTCTACTAGCTTAGGGCTTCAATTTGGTGCAAGAATCATGAAAAATGGTGGAAAAACGAACGAGAAAACTCAATTTGCAGGTTTCCCAGTTTCCGGCGCCGATGACGGCGCCGGAGATTAATCGGAGAAGGTGACAGAATATTCCGTCAGAATTCTGACGGAATATTCCTGACGCCGTTAACGGAATCTGTCAATTTTGACGGAATATTCCTGACGGCGTCAGTTGACGCCGTCAACGTGCCAGGCACGTGCCTGCGCGTGGGGGCGCGTGTGGCCGTGCCTTGGCCGGCGCGTGGGGGCGCGTGCGGCGGTGAAAATTTTTTCTAAAATTATGGTTGTGATCCTGAGGTTGTGTAGAGCACGTTGGTATATTCAATTGTCCCTTTTTGAGCAATGTATGAGAAGTTATTTTGAACGGAAGGTTATGTGCTTTAAAATTAACGTTTTTATAGTATTTTCGCATATAGGTGACACGTATCCCGAGGACGAGCGTGCTCACGCGAGGCAGGGGGGCTACGACCCTTCCACGTACCAGTGAGTGGGCTTTTGTTTTCCGTATATACCTATATACTTATAATTCCCAGAAATTTATGTATATGTTTATTAGTTTATGCCATTCCTTTATTATTATTGGTTATTATGCATGGTTAGTTGCATATATGGTTATTATATATATTCATTTACACGGTTATATATATGTTGGTGCTGTGGAGGCACAGGTAAGTGCCAGGTAAGCGTTATTTAATATTCGCATTTAATAGTGGTTAGAGGTGCTTAGAGAGCTCATAACCTGCACCCCCGGTGTTAGTGCTCCCGCCCAGAGTAGGGCACAGTCCTTCACGTGTCGTTCACCTCCCGCACCACACGCTCAGCTTGGATCCAAGTTAGGTGCACAGTCTTGTCGTACAGACCACCATAGGTGGTTCCGACTCGTGGGTAGGTTTAGTGTTGAGTTTGAGATTTAAGCTCTAGATGCAACCGTACAGGTCACGTTAGGTGACTCCGGCTACCAGACTATATGTTATTGATATGATTTATACCTGAGCACTTGCATTTCATTCTGAGGTTTCGATATGGCGTATATTTGAGCATGATTGGCATATTTATATATGTACATATGTTTATTTTCTGGGAAGTATACAGGTTTTACGGTGAAGGGTTAGAATGTATTTTACTAAATGGTTTTCAAAGAGCTTTGTTTTTGCCCACTCACGCTTTTGTTTTGCGCCCCTCCAGGTTTTAGCTAGCTAGCAAGGTTGCTGGTTTTCCCAGAGGGCTTTCCCGGCGTTTCTAACAGACGATCACCAGCGTAGGTTCACCTTCGGGTGCACTGTTGTAACGCTATTTTATTTGGACTGCTTAGGCGTTATGCTCTGAACTTGTATTGTTTCACACTAGCACTTGTTACTTTGACTTTTGTACGCTAGTTTTTAATTATTCGTACTTTTATATTACTGTCTTACTAGCTTCCGCACTGTGCACATGGCTACGTCACTTCTGCGTGACGGCCAGCACGCTCTGATCTCGGTCGGGGTGTGTCACTATACGCCACCGTGTTGGCCTAAAAGTCATGTTGAATTTAGATTTTATGGTGCATTTAGAGTTGATCATACTTTTTAACCTACGATTTCCTTTCTAATAAGCACCCATGTTAATTTATGATTATTTTAGTAAAGTCACATTGATCTATCATAATTAAGGCATCTTATTTTAATCTTCTTACACCATCATTCCTTTCCTCCCTTTCTCACTTTCAACTTTCGCCTCAAAAAGAACTTCAACTACACGTAATCTCTTTCTTCCCATTTTACCAACCGCAATCCACCGTCCAATCCCGACCGTCGACCACAACCACCCAAAACCGAAAAATCCAACGGCCTGTTATTCCCCATCCAACAGTTACAAGAATCCAGACTACCTCACCAATCAAACCTCCTCACGTGTTGCCCATCCGAGGGCCCGCCAAATTCATCTATCCCCAAAGCCGGATAAGAACACTTTGTGTTTAATTTTAAACAAAAAATTTAAAATAATTTCCAACTATGTATGATGAACGGACAAAATGCAAAGATATTTCGAATCCTTATCAAGAGGATCTAAATTCCCAAAAGCTCCCCAGCATTTCCATTTTTCACGTGCCTACCCCAGCCAGAGAAAACCAAGAGTCAGGGGCAAAACCGTGTTTTCAATTTCCAACAGTACAGTGAAAGCTGGAGTTCTAGAACCAAAGCAAGCAACCGAACTGTCTCGTTTTTATTTTGTTAGGAGAAAAGAAGCTTTCACTAGATAGCGGAGCTGTGACAATACTATCCCCCATTTTACTGTTACATCAAAACCTCCAGTACGCTGCCGTTTCGTTCCGCTCCTCCGCATTCGCTTTTTCTGCTCTTTTTTTCCCTTTGCCTTGTGCTCCTCCTTTTGATCGCCTCCTCAGAAGGAGCTCCAAATACTAAGCATTGAGTTTTTCGTGCTCGAAAAGGGTAATTAAAACGGATTCGGAGGGGCTTTTTTTGACCAAAATAAAAAATAGAGCGATTTTGTCACACTTGTTCTGGGTTTTTTATTTTTTAATTTAATTAATTTTTTATTGTTGAAGTAAATAACGGTTAGAATTGGGATTCAGTGCCACCGTCTCTGTCGCATTGATATCTTAGTTTTTAATTTTTAATATTATTAAAAACTGCTTCTTGATATTATTAAGTTTTTGTATTTTTTTGGTGTTGCAGAGCACAAATCAGAGGAGCAGAAGCTTCACAGTGCAGACTGGAACGACAAGTCGTCCGGAAAGCTTTCCAAGGTAAGATCTCATCTGGGTTAATCTCTGGTTGTTAAAGTTCGAAGCTTTGGGGGACCCTTTCTCTCTGAAATGTTGAACGTTTCGGTCGTCGGTTGACGAAATTTTAAATGGGTGTCCGGTTGCTTGCTGTTGAAGCATAGTAGTGGGTCGCCACTTTCGAATTGACATTCATGTTGGTCGCTGTTGGATGATGTATAAAAGATAATACAGATGACATTGTATATTTCTTTTTTATAATGTGGTGGAAATGAAGCTTAGAATCGACGAATGAGCGTGACGAAGGGAATTAAAAACCCCTTAATCTTAATAAACTTTTAGTTAGAATTAACTTTCTTTGTGGCTGTTGTCTTCCAGGGGTGGTTGGAATTAGCCACGAATGGCTTGTGGTTGCAGATTTAGGACGTGATTGGCGTTTGGGGGTGTTTGTATTTTTAATTATGCTTGTTTTAGCTTGTTGTTGCTGATGTGACCCGTAGTTAGTTAGCATTTCTTTATGTTTCTTTTTCTTTTTCTGAGGTGGTTGGGGGAATGTCCATGGTTTAGCTTCTTTTTGCAAACAATGTGGTAACGACGGGCATAATTTATGTTTTGGCAAGTGCAACAACCCTGTGTTTAACATTTAAATCATCTTGCATTTTGGGAAATAAGTGTGGCTTGGAGTACTTTAACACCGAGCTTGTTTTTTTCCACTTTCAGAAATTCGATGGGATTTTTCTGTTTGTTAAGCTTTGATTAATTGGCGGTTGGGTTGACAAGAGCATCGGGTGGAAAAGTGAGATAATGGGGGCAATTGGTGGGGAAGATCTAGTGAAGTGGGAGAAGATGCAAGGAGCAACTGCTCGTGAAGAGAAGATTCTGGTTTTGGTGAGGTTGAGGCCTCTGAGTGAGAAGGAGGTTGCAGCAAGTGAAGTAGCAGATTGGGAATGCATCAATGACACAACCATCTTATACCGAAACACGCTGCGGGAAGGGTCTACATTTCCAACTGCCTATACATTTGGTAAGAATATATTCATCTGTATACAGTGTACTCACTGTAATTTCGTATAGGTGTTTGAGTCTGAGTTTACAATGGTACATCTGCTTACCGTTAATGTCCAGCACTGGCCCTTGCTTGAATTTTTGAGAATGCATGGTTTTGTCATAGTTCATTGGTTTATGGGATACATCTTAACTATTTTATCTATTTATCTTTGTTCATATTTTTATGGTAGACAAAGTATTTCGGGGTGATTGCTCTACAAGGCAGGTTTATGATGAAGGAGCCCAACAAATTGCTCTTTCAGTTGTCAATGGTATCAACTGTAAGTATATAGATCTGTGTGTTGACGTCCTTCTGATACCTTTCTTTATGCAACTAGTGAAAAGTTTACACCAAAATTTTCTTTCTCAGCAAGTATTTTTGCATATGGTCAAACAAGCAGTGGGAAAACGTACACTATGAATGGTATAACAGAGTTCACAGTAGCAGAAATATTTGATTATATACATGCGGTAAGAATGATTACTAATAAGTTTGATGCTTTGTTTCTTTTCGATTTTATTACTTGACTACTGTTTATTTGCAGACGTTATTAATATAAAGACAGTTTCTAATGCAAGCCACACTAATATAAAGATTGCTATTTCATTCAGCATGAGGAACGAGCTTTTGTTGTTAAGTTTTCAGCTATTGAGATATACAATGAAGTTGTTAGAGACCTCCTAAGCACAGATAATACTCCGCTTAGGCTGCTAGATGATCCTGAGGTTGGTGCCTTCTGCTACTTTTATTTTCTTGAGATAGTTATTTTCATGTGTATATGAGTTTTGCTTTAACACTTGTATATTCTCATCAGCGGGGAACCATAATAGAGAAAATCACAGAGGAAACTCTGAGGGACTGGAACCATTTAAAGGAGCTCCTTTCTATTTGCGAAGGTAAATCATTTGAGAAAATACTGCATTTACCACAAAGTATTATATCTTAATTATTTGAGTGTATTATTTCAGCTCAAAGACAGATAGGGGAGACTGCATTAAACGAAAAAAGCTCTAGATCACATCAAATTATTAAACTGGTATGCCCCTCCCCCTGGATTTTCTTTGATAAGGGTATATTCATTTCATATGCAGTGCCTTAGACTACTTTGCTTAATCCAACTTTAACTTGTAGGCAATTGAAAGTTCCGCTCGTGAGTTCCTAGGCAAAGGCAATTCAACCACCCTTGCAGCTAGCGTGGTATATATTAATTATTTCTAGATTGGATACTTGGTAGAATATATAAAATGTTCTGTTAATTTAATTTCGTTGTTTCCATTTGCAATATTAAGTAGATATTAAATTCAAAAGTCATGGGTTTGTTGCAGAATTTTGTGGACTTGGCAGGAAGCGAGCGTGCAGCCCAGGCATTATCTGCTGGGATGAGATTAAAAGAAGGCTGCCACATTAATCGCAGTTTACTAACTCTTAGCACTGTTATTCGCAAGCTAAGGTTTGTATAATCCATCCTTCCTTTATGTCATATACTTTACCAAGTTCATTTGACAGGCAAAGATCTAGTAAATTATTATTTATTCTGGACATTTTCTTTTTAATTATGTTTATCTACATGCATGTGTACTAACCTGTTTTGAACCTTTGATTTCAAATCTGATATTTTTGTACGCAGTAAAGGAAGGAATGGCCACATCAATTACAGAGATTCTAAGCTAACACGCATACTGCAGCCGGCCTTGGGTGGTAATGCTAGAACTGCCATCATTTGCACTTTGAGCCCCACACGAAGCCATGTTGAGCAAACAAGAAACACTCTTTTGTTTGCTTGTTGTGCAAAAGAAGTGACTACAAAAGCACAGGTCAATGTAGTCATGTCAGATAAGGCCCTTGTTAAACATTTACAGAAAGAGCTGGCTAGATTGGAGAGTGAGTTGAGGATTCCTGGCCCCCCTTCCTCAACTTGTGATTACCCAGCGTTGCTTAGAAAGAAAGATCTTCAGATTGAAAAGGTAATGATTCTCTTTCTTCGAAAATTTACAATTAGGGAATAATACCTGTCAATGGGAATTAAATATAAGCACAGTTATGGAGACATTTCTGAAGACCCGTGGCAGATGGCAATTGAAAGAATTTCATTCCAGAAGATAGGTCTGGAAGACGGTAGTTTAGACGTATTGAATAATTTGAATTTGCTTCTAGGAAATCTCCATGTACCTAGTATCTACACAATTTCATTATTTATTCTGTGCTTCTTATAAGAGCATAAAACGGGTTGCTTTGACTCATGTACTCAGCTTAGGTGTAAGTCTGCTGTAGGCTTCGAATTCATCCATGCCCATTTTTGGAATCTGTAACCACGTTTTGATACAAGTGGGTGTCTAATTGAATGCATTTAAACCAAGACATGACTTGTGACCTTTTTCAGATGGACAAGGAAATTAGAGAGCTGAAAAAGCAATGTGATCTTGCTGAATCACGGGTGGAGGATTTACTGCGGATGGTTGGAAAGGATAATGATTCCAGAGAAGTACATATTCTTGCTTATTTACTATGGAGTTCTATTACATGTTATATACCTTTGTTCTTCTAATTCTTGCTTGTTTCTTCTCTTTCAGCCTTCAGATAATCTCAATCCTAAATGGAACGCCGGGGATGTGTCAGATGATGAAGGCTCAGTATCATCAGGTGTGGCTGATCCTTATTATATGAATGGCGTCAGAAAGTTCAACAATCCTCATTTTGATGACAGAGACGGTGAGAGCAGTCCTGAGGAGGTATACGGACAGATTCTTGAAAAATTTAGATCTGATTCATGCCAGAGTGTAGAGGATCCCACAGGTGGGACTGCAGAAGATACTGATGACTACTGCAAAGAAGTCCGCTGTATTGAGATGGAAGAGTCAAGCAGGGACAAGAATTCCGGATCCCTTGCTTTATCTACTGTTGAAAATGAAGTAACATCTGGGGATGCAAGTTTAGCTGGTCAAGAAATGATATCAACCCCAGTGAATGCAGATAGAGAAGGGAGTCAGATGCAAAATGGTTTTACATATGGCACATTCGAACAGAGACTACGTGATGTACAAATGACGATTGATTCTCTTGGTAGTCCTTACCCTGAAGAACAATCTAGAAGCCTAAAGTTAACTCGGAGCTGGAGTTGTAGAGAAAATTTCACGGCTGGCTCATCTTCACCGGATAAATCGGAGAGAACCCCACCTAATTGGTTTGAGAAAAGCTTTCCTGGGAGACCAGAAGGTTTTAGCGGGAGGAAGGTTCCATTATTACATTATGATTCCAGCGCAAGGTTGTCAAGAAATGATTCTCAATCTTCCCTTGGGAGTGCCGTGGATGAGTTAGAAGGACGGACTGCAGATGAGGATATTGCCAGTGTTCATACTTTTGTCACAGGACTAAAGAAAATGGCCAAAAAGCTTGAGAATGACAGACAACTTGTCAACGGTCAGGTGAGAATGTGCCTTAATTTTGAGTTTGTCCACTAGAAAAAAACCCCATCATTTTTTGTGTGTCTGTCTTTGCTTGTTATAATAATTAGATAATATCCTTGAACGTGATAAGTTCATGAGAACTTATGCATGAGAATGTGAAACATTATGCATTAGTCTTACTCTCTTAAGATTCCCACTTTTGAAGTTTATAATTTTTATATCAACAAAGTTGGGGTGAGATTGCAACATTTGCTTTTCCATGTTGGAGATAATCGATAAACTTAAAGACGTTTAAAAGTTTCAACAGGTTAATGTGGCTTGCGTGGATGTGGAATTTTACAAATTCATAAATTATTTTAAGTTGCATGCCCTCACAACTTATTTACAAATAGTTATACTGTAATTTGCATTTATTTATTGTAAGGCATTTGGGCTAGTCAGCTTCTCACAAATCTTTTGCTTTGTTTGACATGTATCTGTATGTGCGTGCTAGGACCAAGAGACGGGGGAAAAGTTTGCAAAGAATGTGAAAGATGTAGGAGTAGACCCAATGCTGGAATTATCAGAAACTGCTGATTGGCCTCTGGAATTTGAGAGAAAGCAGAGGGCCGTATTTGAACTTTGGCAAACTTGCTATATATCAGTGGTCCATCGAACCTACTTTTTCTTGCTCTTCAAAGGTGATCCAACGGATTCCATTTACATGGAGGTTGAACTTAGGAGATTATCTTTCCTCAAGGAAACTTTTTCCCGTGGAGATCAAGCTGTCGAAAATGGTCAGGCACTCACACTGGCTTCAAGGTTCACTCTCGTGTCTGTTCTTTCTTTCTTTTTACTCAATGTCGTTCTTATTTTTTGAATAATGTCTTGTTTCTGTGCTAACATCTATTTCGTGCACAAGTTGACTAAAATACCGTTCTGATTTATGGCTGCAACGTGTTTATTTCGACACAGCATGAAAGCTATCGGTCGGGAGAGAGTAAAGCTAAGCAAGCTGATGCAGAAAAGGTTTTCGGCAGAAGAGAGAAAGAGACTCTTCCAGAAGTGGGGTATTGCACTGCATTCAAAGCGCAGGAGGCTGCAGCTGGCCAACTGCTTGTGGAGTAACACAAAGGATATGAACCACATTACAGATAGCGCCGCCATTGTTGCAAAGCTGGTGATGTTCGCAGAGCAGGGTCAGGCGCTCAAGGGAATGTTCGGGCTTAGTTTCACACCGCCGAAAGCAAGGCGTAGATCCTTTGGATGGAAAAATAGCATGGTATCTCTTATATAACATGCTGCTCTCATATAATATACCACTATAGATAGGCGGTTTCTCAAATCATATAGGCCACATAGCGTTGTTTTCGTCATCAAAACTTGAAACAGATTGCCTACGATTATTTATAGGAATTGTATAAATCTTAGGCGGCATGCTCAGCTTAGAAAGCTATGTTGTGATTTTGGTAATATGGTTTCCTGGTTCTGTTCCAGCTTTCCTGAAATGTAGTTTTTTTTTTTTAATCTTTGTGACTGTTGTGTGTAAAAATTATCAATAAATGGTTTGTTGTCTTTCCCTTAGCCTCTGTCTCATACGCTATCAGGTTTTCGAAAACATGTATTATACGTAATGTATGCTCATGGTAATTATAATTTACGAATATTAGAATCACCAAAACAAGATGAGAAGTGTAGGAAGTGCACACTAAGACTAAAAATACCTATCCAAATTTGCAAGGAAGAACAATTTTTGCCGTGTTGTTTCGTTGGTAATTGTCCACTACAAAGGCACCTTGAGTTAAATCAGGTGGAGTTCCAAACCACTATCAAATCAGATCATGTATGCTTCAATTTTGGATAAAGGAGACTCCGATTGCACAACAAGAAAAAACACCTGCAACAGATCAAGAATAACCTTTTCCAACCTCCAACAACACTGGAAAACCACTGATGTATGACAACCAAACAAGATTAGGAACTATGTGGAACCAAATTTTTGCACCACCGTGGATGGAGGACTCGTGCGAGAACGGCCACCTACAAGCATGAAAAAACAGCTGTGAATAACCTAGGGTACTAGTGTGGTGCCGACCAAAGGCTCTCCGAATAAATTTTAGAACTCAAGCCGTGGGCGAGCAAAGTATGTGTATGAAAGCATAACTATTGACGAGCCCTAGGAAGGGTATTTACACTAATCGGGGAGAGTCCTAAAAGATATCTAGCATAAGATACTATCTCCCTTAAAGTTTGTGATTACTTGCAGCTTACGCCAATTCCTAGATTGTAAGAATCTCAAAGAATATAGGAAATCATTTGATCCCAATCAGATCAGGCTTTCGTATCTTGCGGAGCAAGCATTGTTTTTCTCAACGAGGCCTGCAGACCTCACCTACCATTCTAGAGCCCAATACAGTGTGGTGGCACCGTTGGTTTCATTTAAGTGGCTTAGTCCAATTAGATCCTGTGAGTTCATGACTGGACTTTTGAGGCACTCGCATTTCGATCCACCTTACTTTGGCTCAGAAAAATTTATGGTCCCACAAGATACAGACTAACCCACCCATGTTTATTATTCAAGACTGCAGTACAGTTATCATTCGTAAGCGAATGGAATATAGCCTCCGAAGTTGCTGAAATAGTAGGCAAATAAAAAACAACCTCTGGCCCAGTGTTCTTGGTATGTAGAAGTAATGTCCAAAGGTGATGAGGGACTAATTCATTGTCAACTAGTAGCAGACGCGAAGCTATGGCCATGATCAAAGCATGAAGCACTGGCGTCGAACCAGGAAGCGCAACAGGTAACAATGTTGAGGATGAGAGCAGTGTTGGAGTGGAATTGGCAGCAGCTTTCGACGGAATACACTGCGATTGGGCTCCTCCATAACAGGCTCTAAGGTAGTTGGATCGGATCAATCGCACGAGAAACACAATGATCGGCGGCAAGAGGGGTAGAGTTGCCTTCCCCAACGCCTCGAGAGTTCAGCTCGCGATTAAATATTTCGAAATAGGCTAGAAGCTTGGTCGCGAAGGCCTTGTCGATCGTCATTTTTTGTCGAAATTTCGGAGATTCGGGATTGACTTCTTCATAATCAAGAATCCCATATTGAACCGAAAACATATATTATTAATTATTTTATATATATATATATATATATATTTATACATATATATTATATATATTATTCTTTTATAATTGATGCTAGTATTTTCTAATTCATGCTTTGCAACCTAAAATGTTCTACATCTTGCATATTTTTCATGTTCCGTTTGATATTCATTTGGATTTTATTATTGTTGCTGTCCTGGCTGATAATTTTAGAAGGCTTGATTCTTTTGTTTCTCAACAGATTGCTAAAAGAGTTTAATTAATTTGAATTTTGACTCTAATAAAAACAGTCAGGCTTGCCAGTGTTCGATTAAATGGTAGTGTGTGTTCTTGAATTATAATTTGAAGAATAATTCATAATTTCATATTTTAAGTTGGGATTCCCGATTTGTTCTAAAATCCCGAAAATATTTCTGGATTCCTAAAAATTTAGTTTGGGATTGGTCTTTAAATTCCCGTCCCGAAAAATTTTGGTTTGGGATTCGGGATACTAATTTCGGTTCGATATCCCATACCAAACCACCCCTAGGTGAAACCATTGCTAAGACCTAAATATATGAAGGTGAAAGGAAAAAGGAGCAGAGCTCTAATATATTTTTCTAATTTGATTTGTATTGTAAAACTGATCTGTTTTCTTATCTAGCAGGCTAAAACTAATCACTTATGTCACTATGATCTGAAGACATTCTTATTCACTTGTAAGTGAGAGGATTTATGTTCGATTCTCATCAAAAACGAATTTAAACTACGTTATTGCTAACTCATTGTGAGACTTAGCCTACTCCTAACCCTTCGTTTGTTCAAAAAAAAAAAAATATCACTAATTGTTATTAAGGTATTAAAGGGAACATAACAATTAATCCAATTTAACCTTTAAACAAAATTTTGTTCCACTCAATACGATACAACTCAAACTATTTAGGGATAGGCACAAGGTTGGCCGAGCTTAAATTTGGGAGAACCGGACTCTACCCGTTTTGAAATGTAATGGGGCTGGCCGAGCCAGCTACATGGATTTGAAACAGACCGGTTCGGGGTCGGTCAACGGGTCCAACTCCTTTTTTATTTTCAAAAATACCTCATCTTTGTCGATCTGGAGCCCATTGTCGTCACACCATCTTCGATCTCCACTATCCCTCAGCTCCCTCATGCCATCTTCGTCAATTGAAAGCCCACCGCCATCTGGAGTCTACTGTCTTCTCCGATCTGAAGCCTCGTGCCATCTTCGCCGATCTAGAGCCCACTATCATTTGGAGCATGATGTCTTCTCCGATCAAAAGCCTCACGCCGTCTTTGTCGATATAAGTCTGAGGTTACGATAAAATCAAGAGAAAGATTGAGTGAGAGAGACAAGTTGAAAGGGCAGCACCAACTGGCCAAACGCGACACCTCCTGCGTGAGCTTCTTGAAGACAGTGGCTATAGACGATTTCAATCTTGATTATGAAAAGACATTATCAGGCTGTCTTATTTGCACCCACAGAGACATTGTGAAATGCCAACCATCTAAATTCAAACATGCAGAGCAAACAACAAATCATTTTCTCTTTAACAATCAAATAAAATTCCCAAAGAAAACCCCAATTGAATTCGACAAAAGGACTATGGGAGTTGGGAAGGAGAAGAAGATTAAGATGGGGACTGGGGAGTCTAGGGTGGGAGATGGTTGGGAGAAACAAGAAAGTGGGAGTATGGGGGAGTTGGGAGTTTAACACTTGTGGCGAGTTTACGTAACCGTAATTAAGAAGAAATTGAATTGAGAAGAAGTTGGAACGAGGAGAAGTCATAATCAGATTCCTATTGAAGTTGTTTACTTAAATGTTCTAGAATTGGAATAGAAATGACACTAATTCCATAAAATTGTTTACTAATTCAGCAAAATCGGAATATAAACCAATATTACTTTAGTCTAAAGAAGGATTTTCAATTGCACTGTACAAATGAATAGTTTTCGGATCCCAATTTCACACTATTTACGGACATGCCATTGCTCTAAGGATTTTGCCTGGGTTTTTTTTTTCTTTTTTTTTTTTCAGGGTTAGTTGTATGGACTTTTACGGGTTTGGGCTGTCACTGGGTTGGTGGGTTTTGTTTGTGGTTGGGTTTTTCGGATGGATGGCCGACACGGGCAGGCCTAGCCTGCAACGATGCCAGCGAGAAGAGAAGAGGGGGTGTGGTGTGATGCGAGAGAGAAGAGAGAGAGGAGGAGTCATCCGATGGCAAAGAGAAGAGAGAAGGGTCGTGCGATGCCAGAGAGAAGAAAGAGGATGACTCTTGGAAGGAAAAATTTGAGGAGAGAAGAAAGGGTAGGATGAGCAAAGCAATAGGTAGGCCTGCCCGGAATTTGGGTTTTGTTTTTTCTTGGTGAAATCTGCTTTAGAGAAGCAGTGAGGCATGAAGGGATGCCTAAACCGAGGGTTGATTTCAGAGATTTGGTTCCAGTTGGAAGATATCTCTGCAAGCATTGATGAGGATTTCTCCCAGCTGGCAGCTTCAATTCCTTTCAATGCCAAGTGTCCCTTTCGAACTGAATTTTCCCTTATTTCATTGTTTCTGGTTTGAACCTGCTTAGAAACCTGTTTTTTTTCCTGCTTTGTTTTCTGTCTGGTTCTGGTTCGGTTATTTAACTTTTAGTTGGGAGTGCAAGATTTGTTTTTAAATTATTAAATTGGGACAGAAAAAAAGATATTTTGTGCTGCTTTTAGGGGTGGGCACGGTGCGGTTCGGAGCGGTTCCACCCCTAAATTGGAACCGAAACTGAAATATATTAACGGTTCGATTCGGTGCGATTCCACTTAAATTTATTACTAGAACATTACGGTTCGGTCTACACCGGTTCCGATTCGGTTCATGCCGGTTTACGGTTCCTAATAATAAATTATTTGAACACCAAATCATTATGCATTCAAATACATCTTCTAAAACTGATTACATAAAGTTGCATACAACACATCTTTTTTAATACAAATGTTTTTGGTAGTGGCACCAAGTCAACAAAAAGAGACAACTAAAATACATATGCACTGGTCAATCAGTCAACAAACAAAAAAATGATGAAGCAAATTGCAGGTTTTCAAACTTCAGAGAGCAAGCAAGAAGCAGCAGCTCCTGTACACAATTTTTCAACCTATTATACCATGACATGTGTGTGTATATATAATTTATTTATTTATTATTAATAAAACGGTTCGGTTCGGTTCGGCCGGTTCTTGGTCATTCGAAACCGGAACCGGAACCGGTTTGAACGGTTCGGTTCGGTTTTTCACTCAAAGTTGACTTTTCCGGTCAACACGGTTTTTTTCGGTTTTTTTTCTTACGGTTCGATGCGGTTTTGCGGTTTTTATGCCCACCCCTAGCTGCTTTCTTCACTGTCTACTAATACCACTTCCTCTTCATTTCTCTTTTTCTTCCTATTGTGTTGGTCTTTCAGTGCTATAGCTTCTCTGCAGAAATCAAACTGTATGCAATTTGCTCCT